ACTGCAAATGCTAGAATAATAGAAATACTGAAGCTATAGAAATACTGTAAATAATACAAATAGTGCAACTACCGCAAATAATACAGATACTACAGATCATAGAAACACTACAATTACTACAAATAGTGCAGGTACTGCGAATGCTGTAATAATAGAAATACTGAAGCTATAAAAATACTGTGAATACTACAAGTAGCGCAACTACTGCAAATACTACGGATACTAAAGTTTGTATAAATACTGCAATTACTACAAATAGTGCAAGCACTGCAAACGATACAATCATAGCATTACTAAAAATGTTGCGAATACTACAGATACTATAAATACTAGAACAGCTAAAATTACTACAAATAGTGCAAGTACTGCAAATGCTACAATATTACAAACACTAAATATACGCAAATACTCTAAATATCACAAATAATGCAACTACTGCCAACACTGGAGATACTACAAATCATAGAACTACTACAATTTCTACAAATAGTGGATGTATTTCAGATGATACAATAATAGAAATACTGAAAATATTGCAAATGCCACAAATACTAAAATACTACAAATAATTCGAATACTCAAGACAGTAAAATCCTGGAAATGCTACAATTACTACAAAAAGTGCAAGTATTGCGATTGCTACAATAATAGATTGACTAAAATTACTGAAACACTATAAAACTACAAATATTTCAACCACTTCAAACACTGCAGACGCTACAAATACTAGAATTGCTACAATGAATAAAAATCGTGCAAGAACTCCAAACGCTACAATAACAGAAATATTGAAGCTGTAAAATAATGCAAATAATGCAAATACTTCAGATACTACAGATCATAGAAGAACTACAATTAACACAAATCGTGAAAACACTGCAAATGATGCAATATTAGCACTATTAAATTACCACGAATACTACAGATACTACAGATCACAGAACTACTACAATTATTACAAATAGTGCAAGAACTCCAAATGCTACAATAATAGAAATACTAAAGCTATAAAACTACTGTAAATAATACATCAAGTGCAACTACTGCAAATACTACATATACTAGAAATTATATGACTACTACAATTACCACAAATGGTGCAAGTACTGCAAATGATACAATAATAGAAATATTGAAGCTATAAATTTAAGCGGAATCATACAATCGGTGCAACGTCTGCGAATACCACGGATACTGCAGTTCATAGAACCACTACAATAAATACAATTAGTGCAACTACTGCAAGCACTACAGATACTACAAATCCTAGGATTAATACAATTACTAGAAATAGTGCAATACTGCAAGTGTTACAATAATAGAAATAATAAAGATACTGAAATAATGTAAATACTATAAATAGTACAACTAGTGCAAATACTATATTTACTAGAAATTATGTAATCACTACAATTTCTACAAATAGTGCAAGTACTGCAAATGCTAGAATAATAGAAATACTGAAGCTATAAATATATTTCGAATACTAAAGCTTGTGCAACTACCGCAAATACTAAAGATTCCACAGGTCATAGAAACGCTAAAACTACTACAAAGCGTGCAATACTGCAAACGCTACAATAGTAGAAATACTGAAGGAAAAAATACTGTATCTAATAAATATATTGCATCTACTGCATATAATGCATAGAATACAGGTCACAGAAATACTACAATTAACACAAATGGTGAAAACTTTGCAAATTATACAATAATAGGACCACTAGAAGTACTGCGAATACTACGGATACTACAAATCCTAGAGGTCATACAATTACTACAAATGGTGCAAGTACTGAAAATGCTACAATAAAAGAAATACTGAAGGGATAAAAATATTGTAAATAATGAAAATACTGCAAATACGGCAAATACCACACACACAACAGAACATAGAAATGCAACAATAAATACAAATAATGCAAACACTGCAAATGATGCAATAATCGGATTACTAAACATACTGCGAATACTACAGATACTACAAATCCTATAACCACTACAATTACGACAAATAGTGCAAAAACTGCAAACGCTAAAGTAAAAGTAGTAGTGAAAATACTGCAAATAGAACAAATACTAAAATACTACAAATAATTCGAATACTATAGACAGTAAAAATCCTAGAACTGATACAGTCACTACAAATAGTGCAAGTATTGCGAATGCTACAATCATAGAAATACTAAAGCTATGAAAATACTGCAAATAATAAATCGACTACCACTACTCCGAATACTACATATACTTGAAATTATATAGCCACTACAAGTGCTACAAATAGTGCAAGTACTGCAAATGTTACAATAAATGTAATAATAAATATAATGCGAGTTCTACAGTTGCTACAAATTCTAGAACTAATAAAATTAGTGTAAATATTGCAAGTACTGCAAATGCTACAATAGTAGATATATTGAAGCTGTAAATTTAGGCGGAATGATACAAATGGTGCAAATACTGCAAATACTACAGAAACTGCAGATCATAGAAACACTACACTTAACACAAATAGTGAAAACACTACAAATGATACCATAATAGTATAATTAAAATACTACAAATACTACAGATACTACAAATCCTAGGACTACTACAATTACTACAAATAGTGCAAGTACTGCAAATGCTACAATAATAGAAATACTGAAGCTGTGAATTTAAGCGGAATCATAAAAATGGCGCAACTATCACAGATGCTACAGATACAAAAGTTCATAGAAATACTACAATTAACACAAATAGTGTAAACACCGCAAATGACACAATGATCGTATAATTAAAATATCACGAATACTACAGATACTACAAATCCTAGAACTACTACAATCATTACAAATAGTGCAAGTACTGCAAATGCCCAAATAAAAGTAATACTGAAAATACTGCAAATAGTGCAAATACTAAAATACTACAAATAATTCGAATACTATAGACTGTGAAAATCCTAGAACTGATGCAATTACTACAAATAGTGCAAGTATTGCGAATGCTACAATAATAGGATTACCAAATATAATGCGAATACTACAGATGCTAAATATCCTAGAACTATAAAATTACTACAAATAGTGCAAGTGCTGCAAATGCTACATTAACAGAAATACTAGAAATACTGCAAATACTACAAATACTAGAATACTACAAATAATTCGACTACTACATATACTAAAATTCCTGGAACTACTACAATTACCACATGAAGTGTAAGTAATGCAAATGCTACAATATTAGAATACCTCGAACCACTGGAGAACGGTTAATACTAAAAATAGTGCAAATACTTCACACACCACAGATGCTACAAATACTAGAAATGCTACAACCCTCAAACATGGTGCAAGTTTGGCAAATCCTACAAAAATTGAATCACTGAAACTACGAAAATACTGTAAATACTACAAAAAGTACGACCACTGCAAATACTACAGATAATGGGACTTATAGAACTTTTACAATTACTGCAAACAGGGCAAGTACTGCAAATGCTGCAATCATAGAAATAAAAAATACTTCTAATACTGCAAATACTAAATTATAAGAAGAGTAAAATTACTACAGAATCTGTAATTACTACAAATCCATGAAATAATG